TTCCCACCCCCTCCGCTCATCCTCACCTCATCATCAGCGCCTCTCCCATTTTTAAGGGGAGTTGGTATAATCCCCCCTCATAAGGGGGATTTAAAGCAAATTCATCAAGGTTCTTTCAACTAAATACAATTGGAATTTTATAAAAAAAAAAAAAACCTCGCTGATTCTCTTGTGTCTTGTTTTTCCGATGTTCCCAATAATTTCAATGTAGTCCACATAAATGCACAAAGCATTCCGGCTCATTTCTCAGATATGCTGACGAACCTCGACTGTTAGGATATTCATACCATACTTGTCTCCGAATCATGGCTTAAACCATGTCTTCCTCCTACTTCTTATTCTTTGCCCGGTTTCAATCTCATCAGGAATGATCGTGCATCTGGTGGTGGTGTGTGTCGCTATTTACTTGCGTTCTCATATTCCCTTTTCAATTGTTGACGTTTCACTACAGCCTCCGCAAACGAATGCCGGTGAGCACCTTTTCTTAGAAGTAAAACTGCGGCACACAGTACTTCTCCTTGGTGTGTACTATTCCCCGTCATCACGTATAAACTATTTTTATTCCTTTGAGAACAAACTCGAGCAACTTGCCCCCAGTTACAGTCATATAATTGTCATGGGTGACTTTAACACCTGCCTTTTAAAATCTGATTCCCGGTCGGCATCACTTCGCAGCGTTTTACAATCTTGCAATTTGTTTACTCTCCCCTCAAACGCCACTCATAGATTTCCTAACTGTTCCCCTTCACTTCTAGATCTTATTATTGTCTCTACCCCAGAACACGTTGCACGCCATGGACAATTTTCAGCTGATAATTTCTCATACCATGATTTAATATTCCTCTCGTATAAAGTACGTCCTCCGAAATTTAAACCTAAAATCCTGTTGCAGCGTAATTTTAGTGGTATAAATCTCGATAAACCCCGTGAGGACGCCGTCAAGTTGGATTGGTGGTGCGACAGTTGTGCTGGCGTACCACAGGGTGTCGTCTTATCTCCTTTACTATTTGCCATATTTATTAATACTGTCTCTAATAAACTTCTTTCATTATACCATCTTTATGCAGATGACTTGCAAATTTATTCTCAAGTTTCTCTGAATAATTTGGCTTCGGCAGTTGATAATTATACTCTCATTTAGCTTTAATCGCCGATTGGAGTGTGTCTTATGGTTTAAAAATAAATCCTTTAAAAACACAGGCAATTGTGGTGGGTGGCTATAGCTTGGCTTCTAAAATACAATGGTCGCAATTATCACCTATTACATTCAGCGGTGTGACATTATCATATAGTGACTTTGTTAAAAATCTGGGAGTGCTTCTTGACAAGAATCTCTCCTGGGCACCACACATTCAAGAAGTAAGTCGTAAACTGTTTGCTTCGGCGGCGTCCTTAAGGAGACTTAGGAATTTTTTACCCACAGCTACTAAAATGGCGCTAGCATAGTCTCTCCTCTTACCAATTTTAGATTATGCCGACGTCAGCTATCTTGATCTCACTGAAGAGCAATTAAATAAACTTGAGCGACTTCAGAACTTCGCAATAAGATTCATATTTGGATTACGTAAATATGATCATGTATCAAAATATCATCAAGAGCTCAAATGGTTGCCTATTCGACTTCGCCGGAATGCTCACATAGTTTCTTTGCTATATAATGTCCTATATAATCCTGCTTCTCCTGCTTATCTTAAAAAGCGTTTCAAATTTCTTTCTGACACCCACTCCCGTCTCTTGAGATCATCGGACAACCCGAGACTCGCGATGCCTATGTATTCCTCTAGAGTGTTTGACAGGTCCTTTACTGTACACGCCGCTCGTCTGTGGAACGAGTTGCCGGTCGCTGCGAGTCGTGCTCAGTCATTAAATGTTTTAAAAAATTTAGTTACAGAATACTATCACTCTCGTGCTGTACATCCAAATAATATTTATTGTAGAAAATAATATTAAATTACTATAAACTATTTTTTTTTGTTTTTTGTGCGTGTGTGTGTGTGTGTGCGCGTATGCGTGTGTGTGTGTGCGTGTATGCGTGTGTGTGTGTATGTGTTTGTGTGTGTGTGTGTGTGTGTGTGTGTGTGTGTGTTTGTGTGTGTGTGAATTAATTGCATTATTTATTCATATTTATAAAGTATACTTTTGCTCAAATGCACTGCCCTAAATTATTCTCCCTATATAATTTTCTTTTTGCGATTGCCTGGAAGAGATCGCTTTTAAGCGATAAGGCTGCCATTTGCTTCGCCCTTGATCTTTGTGATTCTTGTATGTTCTATTGTTGTGCAATAAAGTTTATTATTATTGTTGTATTTAAAAATTTACTCTTCCCGACCCCTCGACGATTCGAGGGGTGGGAGGATTCCCCCCGGCAGAAGGAGCCAGACGGCCGGGGGTCAGGGCGATAAAGAGAGAAAACGGCGGACGATCCATGCGTTATCGAGCAAGATCGCCCGCTGGAGCCTCGCAATCATTGGTCCGTCACGGAGTCCCAACCTCTTCAGATGGTCGTGAAGAGAAGTTGGGACTAGGCCATTCGTTGACACTACGACTGGGATGATCTCAGTGGATGACACTCGCCACATATCGGTCACCTCGTGCGCCAGGTTCAGATACTTAAGTTTTTTATCTGATTCGGCTTTCACGAGGTTTTCATCGAATGGGACGGTGACATCCACTAAGAACACCCGAGATTCCACCCGGTCCATCAGTTCGATATCAGGCTTGTTCGCAGGAACAGTCCTGTCCTTAATGACGGACCGGTCCCAGTACAATCGAGCGCGGTCATTTTCAAGAACTGGCTCCGGCACATACTTATAGTACGGCACCTTTTCACCTATGAGGCCGTATTTGAAGGCTAGCTCGAGATGGAGTATTTTGGCTGCTTGGTCATGTCTGTGCAAATACTCGGTATTAGCCAGTACAGGACAACCGGAAGTAATATGCCTGAGTGACTCACCGGGCTGGTGACAGGCTCTACAAACGTCCTCTGTCCCATCCTTCAGGATATACTTCCGGTAGTTTCGGGTCATAATGACCTGGTCCTGTATTGCACAGACAAAACTTTCGGTTTCCCCAAAGAGGTCCCCGAAGCGCAGCCAATTCACGGAGGCTCTCCGATCCACGTGACGCTCGTGTAGCGCCTTGTAGAACCTACCGTGCAACTCCTTCTCCCTCCAGACGGCCTCTCGGTCAGTGGTGCTAAGTACTGCTGGTTCTCGCCATTGCTCGGTGGCCAAAGAGAGAGGGGTTAGTCCTACATCACATGCTTTGACATCTCTATGCAACTCACTGGATTCCGATTTCGCCAGAAAGTGAATACGGAGACTGTGTATCTCGCGGTTGTGCAGGGTTTTCGCACTGAGCAGCCCACGACCGCCGCTCTTCCTCGGGATATACAGCCTCATCACTGACGATCTCGGGTGGTGCATCCTATGGAGTGTCTATGGGCGTCCAATTCGGTCTGAGTCCATCTGACTATTACAGCGTATATCAATCGAAAAGCCCGTATCATAAGCTGTTGACGTATTATTTTTCTATAATTTTGAAACATATTGATATACAAATATTCGTATATTAACAAACATATTGGAATCAATTGTGGGTCCTGTCAACACTATGAATTATCTGGCCTCCCCTGATATACTTTATTTTATTTACATGTTCCTGTCTATCGCAATTCCTTTAAACAATGGGACGTTGCCGCTCTTCTTCCTATATTAAAATAAAATACCTAGTACTTAGGTTAATAACTTTCTAACTTTAAAACTAGCGTTAGTGTAGAGCTATTTTCGGACCTTTAAAGGTCCGAAAAATAGAACAAATGAGGAGATCAAATGTCATTTATTATGATAATATCACGTATATTATAAGTATGTTATAGTAGAAACACATTTAATGAGGTAGATAATACAAGTATAGTATTTAAGTAATACCCAGGTCGATCGAAGGCAAATATCTCGAATAAACTCAAGTCGAACACAGTGGGCTATAAAATAAAACGATTATACGGACGTCAGTATTTGTATTATAACTTTCATAATGTAAACTGACTTCCAATTATCATCAGCACATGTTACATGTATATTAAGATATATCCGAATATACGGACGTTGCAACATCGTAAAAGTTTCAAACTAGTATTTTGTCATAATGGACGTCAAATGACAAATGTTGTGAAACTTTTAGGATATTGTGATGCCCGTATATAGTATTTCAATAACTATAAGCCGTATTTATGATTATTTTGAAGTTTGGAACACGAAAAAATACCTTATTTTTAACAAAAATAAAATCACTCATTGGAAAATAATATGATTTATTTATTTGTTGGCAATCTGACCCATTGAAGCTTATTTATTTATTATAATATTAAGAATAAAAATCACATTAAATACTTTAAAAATATTATTCCCTGGACTTTTGAAGCAGTAGCAAATTATCTCAAATAAAGTCAAAGCGAACACAGTAGCATATAACAATAAACCAATTATAAAGACTTGAGCATCCATATTATCACTTTAAAATTTCAATCAGACGTTGAAATAACTTTCGATTAAATATATTTCAGTACGATTATACGGACGTAACAATATCGTACATTTACATACTGATTTTAATTTGACGTCAAATGGCAAACATTGTAAAACTTTTAAGATATTGAAACGTTCTTACTTATTATTTAAATAAGTTTTAACCGCACAAATGATTATTGTCAAGTTTGGAACACGAAAAATCACGAAAGAACAAAATTTAACAAAAATAAAATCGGTGATTAAAAAATAACTTGCGCTATAAATTTTTTGGTGATGTTATATTAATTCTGACCCATTTAAACTTTGGTATAATATTAAGAACATAAATCACATTGACGAAAAAAAAACATATATATATAATACGCAGGTCACTTGAAGTAGTAGCAAATTATCTCAAATAAACTCAAGGCAAACACAGTAGCCTATAATATTAAACTAATTATAGTTAGTATTCATCACTTAAAAAATGTAAACTAACTTTGAATACTCAACGATCAATATCTTACATCAGTATAATACAAAAAGTACAAAATTAAAACTATTACAATCAAATATTTTAAACGTACTTACTCCTACACTAGTATACAGACGTAACAATATCGTAAAGTTACACCCTGGTTTTTATTTGACATCCTGGACGTCAAATGGCAAAAAATTTGAAACTTTTGAGATGATGCAACGTCTGTATAGATTTATCTGAATCAGTTAACAGCATAAGTTTAAATTTTAAAGCCTATTAAACAATTAACATAAGGTACTTTTGGTGTGAAATTATGTACAAAAATCGCATTCATCTAAAGGGTAGTGATCATACATTAAATATTCGCCTTTGAAGCACCAAAATTCGGGATTTTTGAGAAAATGAATTAAGTGTTCTGGTTCATTCATATCAGCAACTATGTGCCACGGTCTGTCGTGGAAATAAACGGCATTGGTTTTACAATTGATGCAGTAGGTTCTTAAAATAAAGTGGGTTTCAACCCAAGGCCATCCAAGGTTGTTAGTTAGAATATGATAAAACAAACTTTTGTTTAAAAACGTGTCAACATCAACGACCTCCATTTTAGGTTCAAAATTTTAAAACTGACGACTGTTGGTAATAGATACACACTTACTGGCAATGTTATAACTGAACTATTTTAAACACCACAATACAGCTTTTCAGTGATAAACACACAGGCGTCAGTCGTGGGTCGATTTGATAAACACTAAATTTGACAATTTTAATTTTCCCAAGGCAGAAACACAGACTTGTGTTATAAGATACATCGAACTCGCGCGGGCATTTTAGGTGCGAATAGGGTTGTCCCACTTATTTTCTATTATTTGTTTTATAATTATGTAGCGTATCTCTAGTGGCATTTCAAAGAAGCTTATTTGTAAAAAAAACTCAATGTCTTTATTAAAAAATAAAACACATATGTATATATGAAGGTATAAGAATGAACTAAAAAAAATTGATTCGTCATGGTTGCCAGGTGAGATTCGAACCCACGTCTCGCTGTCCGGGCGACAGCTCTAGCTACAAGGTAGCTTAGTGGCTAGAGCTGTCGCCCGGATAAATAAACTTCTTTGTGACGCCACTAGAGGTATGAATTGAGGAGACCTATACATATTAAATAAGGTGCGTATAAGTTAAGGCCATGAAAAATACGATTTTATTTATATTTTGTCAAAATGCAGATTTTATATACGTAAGATACTTAGATGCTTATCGGTTTCGAATGAAAATAGATCTTGGTTGCACAAAACCGCTTGTTACCTTTAGACACTCAAAATATTTATGAAAAATGATTAAGTTTATAGTATAAAAATATTATACAGTCATTAGTTAGGTTGAGAATAATTTCACTCAGACGTGAGCCTATTTTCATTTTAAACGGATATTATTACTGCAGAAAACTATAAATAACACAAAGCTCTAAAAGATTAAGCAGTAGCTACCTACTTAATTGATTAAAGATATGGACACGTCTATTTCTTTCCTTTTGTGTAGGCATTTTGTACGAAAACTTTAATTTTCAACCAATCTTTGTTGTGCATAATGTCAGGATGTAGATCACGCAGTTCTTCACATTCATGGCGTTTTGGTGGTACTTGACTTTTTATGTGTTTGCTAAAAAACTTTGTAACAATATTTTTTTGTTGTGCTGTCCAAGGAATCAGGTTTCGTTTCTTCTTAGTTTTATTTTCAGTAGAATTCGTAATATCACAAAGCTGAGGTGTCTTTAATGTACTGTCATGCACATTGGCGTCAATATTCGGCTCATTTAGGTTTTCTGTAGGCATAACAGCTTCGTTTTCCATTATTTCATTATTTTGATCAATGTCTTCATGCGTATCTTGTAATAAATCTTGTTCTAAATCTAAATCAATATCATCCAAAGATTTGCCTTTGTAATAATCAGCGTCACCACTTTCCATTAGCAGCAAGAGTTTGGATAATTTAGCTGTCTGATACACATCATCAGGCAATCTATAGTTTTGCCTATGCACAGCCTGAGTATGACCCATAAAATTAGCCAGTTGTTCAATATCGGTTTCTTTCATATTAAACATTTGCGTAAGCGTTGCCAAATGTTTCCGTAACTTGGTAGTGGTTATTGCTGTAGGATTTTTAGCTCCACTAGCATTAGCATACTTCTCCAATACTTTATACCCACATAATGTGTTTTCCGACCCAGGCTTTGCAAATAGGAACTGGTTTTTTTTACTAATATATTTCTGTCTGATAGATATAAGTAAGTCAATGTCGGCTTGCACTTCGTCAGTCAGTAGAACCGGCACACCTCGGCCCCTTTTACCTCTTATAACTATACGCTTAAAAGATTTAATTAGCATTTTTTCAGCATCTGAAATAGCTCTACCAAATTCTTCATGGGCATAACTATTATTATGGCACTCTTGGTGTGTGCTAAGGAGAAGTCGCTGCAGTTCTCCAGGTCGACGCCTATTTAATAAAAGTATGCGACAGTAAATTGTCTCCGCTAAAGTAACATATGCTTCAATGTTACTGTTTTCGCTCTCTACTAATTTGGAGGCTGCTGATTTAGCTTTGTCGCAGATATATTGCTTTAGCATTTTCAAGTCACTCGCAAGTGGAACAATTGTGACTTTGTTCCATTTTTTTAAATTTAAGTCATTACTCGCTTGACTAGAAACGTCAAACTTCCAATTTAACTCAATCAGATGTATGAGTGTCTTGAGATCAGCCTCAATGACAACAGTTTTTACACTGCTATCAGATTTCAAAGTCGCCATTATTGCAATATTAAAACACTGTTTTAGGCTTGTGCTAATATTCATTGCGTATGTAGGAGCACCATAGCGATCTGTTTGATTATTGTAACTGGATACTTTTTTGGTCGCAGTTACTATCACATCGTAGTTTTGTGGTTTCAATAAATCCATTAAATCCTTAATAGACAGACGGTTTGAGCTTTTTTAATTCTATTAACAATTTTGACAATTCTCTCATTTTTCTAGATGTTACATTGATAAAATGTTTTTCACGGTGTATCCGCAGATATTGAGCACCGAATCCACAAATCAGTGGGTCTTTTTTAGCCTCTAGAGATATTTTATCTGGTCTCATTTTGGGAAATACATCTTCTCTAAGTTTTTTATCTACTTTCAGATGACGCAACATAAAATTTTGAGCATCAACTTGGGTATTAGCAGTTTCAGTTAATGGTTGACATCTTTTTTTGTGTTTCCACAGTTGTTTTCTCGAGTAAAAACCCAAACATTTTTCACATGACAAGTAGTCAATATCCGGATAAATGCTGCTTTTTTTCATAGGTTTACAACATTTTGTCACGTTTTTTATATAGTTGCCTTTTTTACGTAAATTAGTCAATAAATTTTTTCGAGTATAACTTTTCTTGGGGTATGATAGGATTTTTTGTACCTCGCATTCCATTGTGTGATTCCGTGCAATATGCCTCGCAAAATTTAAAACATCAGTTTCACAATAAAAGCAATAATCTTTGGTTCTTGTTCTTTTTTTCTTTTTTCCTGATTCATTGGAACTTATTACTTCAGAATAATCAGCACTACTCATGGGTTCCTAAAAACAAATAAATATTTTTAATATCAATAAAAAAGTAAATGCAATCATAGTATTCTATTCTCCCTAATTTTTTAAACTTTTTACCATCTATCTATTCCATAATATTTAATTTAGTCAATTTGGTAACTAAAAAAATAAAAATCAATAACTTTAATAGTTAAAAACACGACTGCGTGACACGAAGTAGTAGAAAACTGCAATGAGAATATACGTTTTGTTTATACGAATACATCTTGTTATACTACTTTTCCGTTTTTGGCAGTTGTTATTTCAAATATTATTGTTTTTTTTTTTTTTTGTTTATTGTATATTCGTCTTAATAGAGTTAATTAAGATGCAAAACTATTATAGTGTCGCTTAAGTAGGCGCGTAAGTCCAATTAAGGTCAGTTTACACAACGTCGCGTCTCGTCGCGTCGTGGTATGAATTAACCCTTACCCGGCAAAAAATCTAATACATATAATTATTAATAAATGAAACAACTTTTAAACGGTTCCATCGCATTCGTATTTAGTTTTAGACGTTTCGGACCCTTTACAGAACACGGAACCTGTAGAAATTTATGGATAGTGCGCGTGAAAATATAAGAAATCAACACCTATAATTATTAACTTTTCGTAAAAATTTGTCTTAAATTACTTTCGCGCTATTGTTCCTTATACGTCGAAATTATTTATTATTATGGTGCAAAACTTACCACATATATTTTTTTGTCTCCTCTTTAACATCTTATAGGTGATATACCCTTAGTATTTATCAAGCTATCTCCTGCTACTTCTTTAAAACTAGCGTCATTTGAAGAGTCGGAATACGTTGGGGTAGATGCAGGATGGTATGTTTCATCTTGGTCACTATTATCAATTTCTAAGTAGTCTGAGTGATGGCTGTAATAAGAACTGGGACTATCATTATCAGCTGTATATGTCGACGTTGTGGGTACTAGGTCTCGTATCGAAGGATTAGAGCTCTGACCTGGCGATGAAGACTGACTTGTTACGGTATGATTTTTGCTTACATACGGGTCTACACTTTCAACTGTTGGAACCAATACATTTTCATGGTACTGAGACTGCTCCAATTTATTTGAAGCATCAATAGTCTGACATGGTGGCATTGATTGACTAGTAACCGTATGATTTTTTATAATATATGATTCTTTACTTTCTATTGCTGGAATATACATATCTGTGTGGTAATTAGATAACTCTAAAATATTGTTGGTGTCAGAATTTTCGATTATTGAATTGTCACTATTTTCAACAAGAATATGTTCGGTATCTCCAATGGTGACATTACTAACAACTTGGTCTATCAAATGTATTTCATCGGTGTTCAGTTCCAATGAAATACTTCCAGAAGTCAAATCTCGGGTGCAATTAGACATATCCTTCAAAGAAGCCGACAAGTCGTCATTTAGATATGAACTGTCCGTAGTATCGTCATCTGCAACTGGAACATAAGTTTCATCTCTGTTCTTCTCATTGCCAGTAGTATCCATAAATGAATCGTCACTACTGGTATTAGGTATCGATATTGAGGGCGGATTATATCTCGGCCTCTGTGAAATAAAAGTACCATTTGGGTATACATATAATATAAGTTATCCTAGAATTTACTCTCATAATAAGTCAACAATAATTAACTAGCCATGTGTGAGTCAGACCAATCCACTCACATAGGAACCTCGAATAAATTCGATCAACAAAATGTCAAATCAAAGTTGAAAAAACATTGACTTTATGCAAAAGTCTGGGACCAAAAAATAAGCAAGGAGTTTTTAGTGGCCCTGTAGTAGAAGGTAGGTAGTACTTTATTAAGTTATCATTATGTGGATCGCGGAAACTATGAACCTCGGTCCACCAAATATTGTTAAATTATTTTTTTCCGTACCCAAAGGTACCCTATGACTGAGACTTCGCTGTCCGTCTGTCTATCTATCCGTTTGTCTGTCTGTCACCAGGCTATTTCTCATGAACCTTGATAACTAGAGTCCGACTCACACTTGGCCGGTTTTTTTTTATTAAACTGACATACTCGATAAAAAAAATATTTTGACCCGCTTAGAATTAGTTGCCGAACTCTAACTTAAATTATAAACTATACTTCAGCAAAATTCGATGAAGAATAAATTTAACAAAGCAAATTAGGGTCGTCACAACTTAGATGACTAAAAATATATAAATCTCGAATTTCGCACATTTTTTACTGCTATAAATTACCAGAAACACCATAAAATTTCAATATTTTGACAAAAAAAATGGAAAATAGTAATAAAGCTAAAATTATTTTTATTTGACAGCCCTGTAACTTATAGAATAAAGAAATTAGAAACTAACTTTCCAAATAAAGTTGTCAATTATTATAAAACATATTCATTTAGAATAACGACCCTGTGTGCAAGTTCGGTGTTCCTTTCTACTGTTCAAAACTGCAATAAGTTTTTTATTTCCTATAATAATGTGTCTGCAGCATTTATAAACATTAGAAATTAATTGCATTATTTACAAATCCCAAGTTTATGAAGTATTAGTACATTTATAAATAAAACGATTGATTTTTCACTGGTTTTTGTTTACACATGATATATTCCTTGTAATGTTAAGACACTGCACATTAAATTACAAATATTAGGTCATTTTCAAAATACTACTATATAATTCAATTGCAGAATCCTACATTTCATAAAGTAGTATGTTAAGAAGACTGGCCACTCACCTCTTTTCTCCTTAGCCGGACCTGCACGTTCCCTCAGGACAACGGTCAAGGCGCTGAGTGACCACACGAAATTATCCTAGGTCACTGTTTCAATCTTCCTCCTTGTGTTTTTCACACCGAAAACGCTTAGTAAAGCGGGAAATGTTCCTTTCGAATTTTATGAAATTCGACGCAAGTAATGAACGAAATTATTGTTAAGAAAAATCACATATGCAGCCGCACGTAACACGTTGAAAAGCGCAATGTCTTGAACTTCGTTTTGTTTGAAAAAAAGGGCGGTTATGCTTGTGGCGCCTCCCTGGTATTGAGCGGCGGACTTAGGAACTAATTAAGAATGAGTGGCCAGATATAATGAAGTAATCAATCCTAAATAATTTTGAAACGGAATTGTGCTTATCATACCAAAAAAAAAAGAAAAATAAACAAACATATATTATATGCGAAAACTGCTTCACTACGGAACATGCCGCTCACCTTAAAAGAACCAGGTTCTTTTAACGAGAAATATATCTACTCAAAAACTGACACTTTACCGAGTTATATTATTTTGATTTGAAATTATTATAAATTGAAACTTAATATTGATAACTTACATACTAACGAACCAATTTTTATGAAAGAATACTATTCATTTGGTAAAGGACAAATTTTTACCACTGGACGCTTGAAATAAGACTGCCCCCTCTGCAAAGTCACCACACGGGTAACGCCATCTGTTCCAGGGTGTAACTTATACACTCGCGCTAATTTCCATAATAGTGGAGGCAAGTTGTCATCACGAATCACAACAATCATACCTTCACTGATTGGAGTACCGCGATCACGGAACCATTTGTTACGTTGTTGAAGTTCATGAAGATATTCCAAACTCCAGCGCTTCCAAAAACTTTGAACACATTGTTGTATCCATCGCCATCTAGTCAAGCGGTTCGGATTTGAGTCGATTAATGAAACATCCGGTAGGGTCGTTAGTGGCCCGCCTATTAAGAAATGCGCCGGTGTTAGCGGCAACGGATCTGCCGAGTCCGAACTAAGAACGCAAAGCGGACGTGAGTTAAGCACGGCCTCGATCTGACACAAAAGAGTATGAATTTCATCATATGTTTGAGTTTGTGTACCTACTACGCGATGAAGATGATGTTTAAAGCTTTTAACACCAGCTTCGAAAAGACCACCGAAATGAGATGCATACGGAGGTTGAAAATGCCATGTAATCCCTTGTTCCAGTACACTAGAGTTTAAATTTGCTTGCACTTTATCATTATGTAAAAAATTATACAAATCTTTTAAATAATTATTGCAACCTACAAAGTTTTTACCACAGTCCGAATATATATCCGTACACAAACCCCTACGCGAAACAAAACGTCGTAATGTTGCCAAAAATGCATCCGTGGACAACTCCGAAACTATTTCCAAGTGCACTGCTTTAGTGCTCACACATACGAAAATTGCAACATAACACTTTATTACTTTAGCGTTCCGTACTTTATTAGCACGAACATAGAAAGGTCCGGCATAGTCTACTGCGGTCTTAATAAAGGGCCGCTGCGGTGCGAGTCTAAAAGCCGGCAACGGCGCCATAGAAGGCTGTGGCGCAGAAGGACGAGCGCGAAAGCAACTGATGCATCGATGGATGCGATGTCGAATTATATCACGACCTGATAATATCCAATACCTTTGTAAGAGAAAATATTGTGTCGTTTGTGGACCACTGTGTAAATTAATTAAATGTGCATTGTCAATGAGTAAATTAACGAAACTATGTTTTTTAGGTAAAATTAATTGATGTTTAGACTCATACGGTAACAATGATTTATGAAGACGTCCTCCGACTCGTAACAACTTATTATTATCTAAGAACGGATTTAACCTGCGTAACTGATTTGAAGGTGGTTTACCGTTTGAAATATTTTTTATGTCATCGCAAAAAACAAAATTTTGTATTATCGAAATAAGACGATTTAGACAGAAATTATATTCTGAACATGTTATAAACTTTAAATTCACTGTATTTATCTTTTTTAATTTGTTATAGAAACGAAAAATGTAAGCCGTGACTCGCACAAGTTTACCTAAAGAAGAATACTTGTCGAACATATCAAATTCTGCGCCTTGGGATGAAATCGGAATAGCCATAACGGATTTTAATAAATTACGTTTTTCTAGATTTGTTTTAGTTATTTCTTTTTGCAAAGGCCATTGATCGGTACTTTGAGAAAGCCATTCGGGCCCATGTAGCCACATACGCTGTTTAAGAAAGGCAGACGGTAATAGCCCACGCGAAGGCGCATCTGCTGGGTTATCCATGGAAATGACGTGATTCCAACAACTAGCTGGAACACGATACAAAATCTCACTAGTCCGATTTGAAACGAACGTCTTCCACTCATACGGTGGAGAGCGTAACCATGACAACATAATAGTGGAGTCAGTCCAAGCGTAAATATTTTCATTATTAATGAAATTTTTATATACTTTTAACACATGTTCAATAAGCTTTGACAAAAGCATACCTCCCATCAACTCTAGGCGAGGAATAGATAAACACGGTGAAATAGGTGCGACACGTGTTTTAGCTAACAATAAAAAGGTTTGAATACTGTCTTCATGTGCAACACGAACATAAACACAAGCAGCGTATGCCTTTTCAGACGCATCAGAAAAACCATGAATTTGAATAGAACCTTCCATGGGAACTATGAACCGCGGAATCGAAAATTGTGATAACAAAGGAAGCTCTTTAATGAAACAAGACCACGCGTCAAAAATATGTATCGGTACGGGTTCGTCCCACGACACGCCTGAAATCCATAATAACTGAATTAAATGTTTTGCATATAACGTAATTGGAGATAACCACCCCATGGGATCATATATTTTCGCAATTTCAGATAATATCGTTCGTTTAGTGATTTTATCAGATGAAATACAGATACTGAAATTGAAAGTGTCTAAATTAGGGTTCCACTGAAGCCCTAAGACCTTAGTTCCTTTATCGTCCTCCATAACAGAAAAGGACACATTTTCCAACCGCTCACCATGAGACACTGAGGGAACCTCACCAGATTGAAATGAAGTTTGAACGGCTGCTAATAATTTAGGTGAGTTACTGTGCCACTTTCGTAACTCGAAGCCGGCGGAATGACAAATACCTATTATTTTATTGTTTTAGATACGAGTATGCCGGATAGCGACCACCGGTACTTGGTTTTGATTGTTCGTGGCTTTAGCTATTGGAAATTTTGCGTAAATTTTGGGAGCGATAAATAAAAGATATGTGTCATTGAAAAACCGTTTAAAAAGTGAAAGTATAAATTGTTTCAAAAAAGTTACAACGTCTTTTTTTTGTAAGTTGCGTTTCGTTCGTTCATGAACATGCCCCCGGCCTTGAAAGCAGTTGCTTTCAATGTCCTTAGCGACTCGGGAACTCCTCTTCCTCGCATACAAGAGAACAGATCTTTGCGTAGGCTCGTCGAACAACACCCGCAGCAGTCCGTATGTCCGCCACTCTTGAGATGCCATCCTTGCCTGGGATAGTCCGCAGTACTCGACCCAAGCTCCATTTTAATGGTGGCAGGTTACTGTCCTTAAGCAAGACAAAGGTGTCGACTTTCAAGTCATCCTTCACATCGGTCCACTTAGTCCGCATCTGCAACTCTAACACATATTCCTTGGACCAACGGAACCAAAAATGTTGTCGAATTTGTTCCACCATCTGATGCCGCTTCAAACGATGAATGGGAACGTCCATCAGATCGTCACTGACAGGTGCAGTCAGCGGTCGACCAACCAAAAAATGAGCAGGAGTTAATGGAGAAAGGTCTTTAGGATCTGGGGAAAGTGGAGAAAGCGGTCTAGAGTTTAAGACGGATTCTATCTGTGCTAACACCGTGCTAAACTCCTCGAAAGTGAGGTGCGCGTTACCTACAACTCTGCGTAAATGGAATTTACAAGATTTTACTCCTGCTTCCCACAGACCACCAAAGTGCGGAGAATATGGTGGAATAAATGAAAATTTTATGTTTTGATTAGTCGCATATTCTTTTATGTCTGAATCACATCTTTGCAAAAATTCAGAAAAATGATTCATTAAACCTACAAAGTTGCGACCATTGTCAGAAAATATTTCAACCGGTTTACCACGTCGCGAAATAAACCTATTGAGCGCTAGTAAATATGCTTCAGTTGTGAGTTCAGTGACTAATTCTAAGTGCACGGCCCGCGTCGTAAAGCACACAAACAAACAGATGTATGCCTTTGAAGTTCGAGCCCCCCTACCCTTACGATTGAGTATGAGCACCGGCCCACAGTAGTCAACATCGCATCGAAAGAATGGAAAGGCAAGCGTTATTCTTTCCACGGATCAATTACCCATGCGAGGTGTTAATGTTTTACCTCTAAGACGTTTACAGGTTACGCAGTTCCATACTACCTGCTTAGTCAAATTTCGACCGTTCAGAGGCCACCAGGTCTCAAGTAAATTATAAAGTAATGCCTGAGGTCCAGCATGAAGAAGTCGTAGGTGCTCACTACGAAACAACAACAGTGAGAAATAATGTTTGCTGTCTAGTAAAATAGGATGTTTTTTGTTGTAATTAAATTCATCCGAATTACTTAATCGGCCACCTACGCGTATTATTTTATTCTTATCCATAAATAAACTAAGTTTACTTAGATTACTTTTATATTTAATTAATGAACCGTGTTGTAATAACGAATATTCATCAGGGAAACTTTCTATCGGTACTTGGTTTTGATTGTTCGTGGCTTTAGCTATTGGAAATTTTGCGTAAATTTTGGGAGCGATAAATAAAAGATGCGTGTCGTTGAAAAACCGTTTAAAAAGTGAAAGTATAAATTGTTTCAAAAAAGTTACAACGTCTTTTTTTTGTAAGTTGCGTTTCGTTCGTTCATGCACAACGAGCATAAACGATTATTACACGGCGGCCCTTCAATTCTGTTGGCTTCCATTCGCGATGCTTGGTGGCCTCTCGGAGGCCGGAATTTGGCTAGGAAAACAGTGCGTCAGTGCGTTACGTGTACACGATTTAATGCAAAGACTGTACGTCCACAAATGGGTAACTTGCCAGCTGAACGTTTAGAAATTGGATTTCCTTTTATGCGCCGTGGCGTCGACTACGCCGGGCCAGTGATGATTTTGAACCGTAAAGGGAGAGGTGCCACTTTTATCAAGTCATATATATGTTTACTTGTTTGTTTATGTACACGTTCTATTCATTTAGAGTTGGTCACGGGTCTTTCGACTCACGATTATTTATTAGCACTAAATCGTTTTATATCTCTCCGTGGCAAGCCGACTGAGATAACGCAAAACATTTTGTAGGCGCCGAAAAAGAAATGGCTTCATTTGTAAGTAATAATAAAGAAATTATTGAATTTGCTAGAAATAATAATATAAAGTTTACTTTTATCCCTCCGTATGCTCCGTATGCTTTTTTTTGGGCGGGTAGCTGTTGAAGTGAAAATACTGAAATTTTTTGTGCTGCAAAATTATTTTTAGTTAAAGTTGAATAGTACCTTATGGTTATTAGCTAACATCTTCGGTGCCATAGTTGAACTCTCATACATCATCACACACGTTACTCCATTGCACCATGGATACAACAGCTGAAAAACTTCTAAGTAGCCTGAAGGATTTGTCATCAATGTTTAACAACAGAATGACTGAATTTGAGAAAAATCTCCAGCAGCCAGGTATGCGTGAATCCAATACTACTGTCAAGTCCATAGCAGCAGACTTCTCCACATTTAAAACTTTTATATGGAAGTCTCTTAGCATTATCAGATCCCAGATTGAACTCATCACATTGGATGTCGATCGTTTGGATGCTCATTCACGAAGAAAGGTTCTTTTGTTCCACGGAATCAAGGAAGATAAGGATGAAGATGTGCTTCCGAAGATACTTTCAATATTAAGCAACCAAATGAAGATAAAAGGAGTGGATGCTGATAAAGTTGAGACATGTCATAGACTTGGCACTAAAAGGAAAGATTTCTCAAGGCCTATATTGGTGCGTTTTACTGAAATGAAGCCTCGCATGTTGGTGTGGAATATGAAAACTTCATTGAGGGGTTCCAATGTAACAGTGTCAGAATTTCTCACTAAGGCGAGACAGGATATCTTTGCTGCAGCTCGTAAACACTTTGGAAAGAGAAAGTGTTGGTCCTCTGAAGGTACGGTCATTGTTTTGTTGGCTGACGGAACAAGAAAGAAGATCTTCTCTAATAGTGATTTACAACATCTCATACAAAAGTATCCAATTCAGTCTACGGAGGTCACAAAAGAGACGAAATGAACACTTGTTGCATACACTTTGTGATTTTTTTTTTACTTTGTCGGATTATCATCTCAAATTCGACGGTACGTTGTTATTTCTGTACTTATTTGATTTTTCAAAATTGTTTTACTTCTTCAAACACATTTAGATTTACAATGTATAATATCGACATCCTACGTCAGTGTCATTACTGTCTAATGTCAGTTGTGTTTTTTCTAAGGAAGGCAAAGGAATCCAAAAGTGTGTTTACATACAGCCATACTTAAAATTAAATATAAACTCTTTTGCTTTCCACTTTTTGTTATATAATGCGATGAGGATATTATTTCTGTGATGAATTTAAATTAAAGGTAATTTTTTTTTTATCTGCCAGATCACTAATTAGATTGTGTATATATAGAATTTTCCATGGTGTTTAGAGTAGTCTTTTCACGTCAACTTAGGCACGTGGAAGATGATTTTGCTTATTCGGTTTCTGTGTTATTTTTTTTTTTTGGAGTTATCTTAGTTTTTGTCTTTTATTATAAGTATTTATTTAACTATATACGTATATTTATTTAATATGGATTTGAATGATGATTACTTTTCTTGTTCTTCGGATGAATACGAAAGTGCCAATAGTAGCGTTTCTTCATTAACTGTATCTAAACCGCTTAACATTGAACTGTTAGAGATATTTGGTAAAAATCCTAATTCTCTTTCCTTCGTGCATATAAACGCGCAAAGTATTCCAGCACATCATACTGATCTTCTTGCGTCCTTTAGCAATGGCGTGGTTGATTGTATTCTGATCTCTGAAACATGGTTAAAACCTTCAATCTCTTCTTCAGGTTGCTCTCTCCCAGGGTATAATCTTTTTCGCAACGATCGCATTGGCGTGGGTGGTGGTGGTGTAGGTATTTATCTGCGTAATCACATACCTACCAGGATAATCACTTGTTCGCCATCTAATTATAGTGTTCTATTGAATATATATTTATTGAAGTAGTCACTCACCATAAAAAAGTTCTTATAGGTGCTGTATATTGTCCAAGTGATCAGATAGATTATTTCAACAGTTTGGAAAATACCCTTGAAAATCTGATTCCTGCTTTTGATTACGTTGTACTGATGGGTGATCTCAACACATGTTTGTTGAAAAAGGACATTAGAGCAAATAAACTTCTCAATCTCTTGTTATCCCTTAATCTTCATGTACTTGACATGACGTCCCCCACTCATTATTTCCCCAACTGTAAACCTTCCCTCTTAGATGTTATGATTGTCTCTCATCCTGAGCTAGTTAGCACTCACGGACAAATTACCGCTCCTTTTTCTTATCACGATTTAATTTATGTTTCGCTTCAAGTGCGCCCTCCCAAAATTAAACCACGGATACGACTTCTGCGCAACTTTAAGCAAATGGTTCTTGAACGTTTGAGAGATGATGTAAGAAATAAGGACTGGTCACCGCTGTTGCGTGGTAGTAATGTGGATGATATGGTAGACTACTTCACTTCTGCTCTTGTTGACATTTATGACGTGCACGCTCCGGTTCGTCCAGTTCGTGTGAAACATGTACCTGCCCCCTGGTTAACGTCAGATATCCGAAAAATTATGGCGAAACGAGATAGGGCCAAAAGTAAACAGAAAAGAGCCCCTTCTCCTGAAAATTTACGAATTTATAAAAAATGGCGCAATGTTTGCAACAGAATGTGTAGAGATGCTAAACGTAAATATATTCACAGCCAAATAGAAAGTTTAAATCAAAAGCATTTGTGGGGTTTTTTAAAATCGCTAGGTGTGGGTAAGTCGGAAGAGGCTAGCCAGAGCATCGTGGATCTGAATGTTCTCAATAGGCATTTCTCCTCACCTTCTCTTACTTTAGACATGGCAACTAAGTCTGACACTCTTTCCTTTTTATCACGTCTTAATAACTCACCTGACTGTCCCCCCTTTTCCTTCAGCGTAGTCTCTGAGGAAGATATTACAAAATGTATTAAATCCATCTCCACGAGGGCGATTGGAAGTGATGGCATAAGTCTTGACATGTTACTTCCTGTTCTGGAGGACATTGTTCCAATAATTACTCACATTATAAATTTCTCTTTGGAAAACAATGTCTTTCCTGCATCTTGGAAAAGGGCTCATGTCATACCTCTTCCTAAAACTCACAATCCTTCTTCACTCAGTCAATATCGTCCTATTTCTATTCTCCCTATTCTCTCTAAGGTACTTGAATCTGTCACTCACCAACAACTTTACTCTTTTCTCTTATCTAACTCTCTTTTGTGTCCTTACCAATCTGGTTTCCGTCCTGCTCACGGCACAGTTGGTGCACTGTTGAACATAACTGAAGATATTCGCCATGCTATGGATAATACGAAACTTACAGCCTTGGTTCTACTGGATTTTAGCAGTGCCTTCAATTGTGTTGACTTTGACATTTTGCTTAGTACTCTCCGCTCGCTTAACATTTCCGCCTCTGCTATTGATTGGTTCCGATCATATCTTTTTGAACGCTCTCAGTGCGTAGTTTTCAATTCTTCTTCTTCTGACTGGCTAAATTTGTCAGCCGGTGTACCACAAGGTGGTGTTCTCTCACCTTTACTTTTTTCTATTTTTATTAATAATATCTCTACCGTTATTTCCTCTCCTTTTCATCTTTACGCAGATGACCTTCAAATCTATAGGCACTTCTCTATCGACGATGCTCTGGATACCATTGATGCTTTAAATAGAGATCTTGCTTCTATTCAGAAATGGGCGGTTTCATTTGGTCTTATGGTCAATCCAAATAAATGCCAGGCTATGATTGTCGGCAGTAGCAGACTCCGCAGCAAACTTAACTGGACTTGTATACCTCCAGTCGTATATAACAGTATACCGATTCCATTCACAGACAAAGTAAAAAATCTTGGATTGACTATGGATAGTTCTCTTTCATGGTCCCCGCAAATGGCTGACGTTAGCAAACGGATGCACTATTCTTTCCGCTCTCTCAAACGACTTCAATACTTTCTTCCCCTTAAAACCAAAATTATGCTAGCGCAATCACTCCTGCTTCCTATTCTTGACTACGCTGATATTTGCTACTTGGATGTGAATGAAGATCAACTAAATAAGCTAGAGCGCCTTCAAAACCTCGCAATTCGGTTCATTTTTGGACTGCGTAAATACGATCATGTCTCAGCTTTTCGAGCTCAACTTAACTGGCTTCCTATCCGTCTTCGCCGTGATATGCACATCCTTTCATTCCTTTTCAAAATTCTTAAAGATCCTAATTCACCCGCATACCTGAATTCCCGTTTCCAGAAGCTTCCTCCCCCATCCCGTCCCCGGCGGTACTGTGTTACCAAAACTTTGGAGCTGCCTAAAAGTAACACCAATTTTCTCTTCAACTCCTTTTCTGTACGGGCTGTTAGACTATGGAACAAACTCCCATTAGATATTCGAGACTGCCCCTCTATCATATCTTTCAAAACTAAACTCAAGGAGCACTTTCTAGCACAATGTTAGTATTCATAGTTTTTTGTAATCATTATTATTTTTATTTATATATGTATATTATATGTATTATATAATATTGTTTATTTATGTATTCTTATTTTTTTTTATTGTTTTTTTTTTATATCATGCCTATATGTATTAATGTTAATATTCATTCACATCAAATTTAACAATTATGCACTTGTCAGTCTCCCGTTACTGCTTGATCTCCCACACCGCCTGGTTGGCTGGAAGAGATCTCTTATAGAGATAAGCCCACCCTTGCTTGTGATTTACATACAATTGTAATGTTAACTTTGTTTTTTGTGCAATAAAGAGTATTATGCTCCTCATTTTGGTGGTTTGTGGGAGGCGGGAATTAAATCATGTGAACATCATTTACGAAGGGTTATAAATAAATAATAAATAAAATCCATTTATTTGGGACAAAACTACAACAGAAGCCGCACAATCACACACAACAAAATCTTTGTCCCAAAACGGTTGCAGCTCAGCATATGCTGGTCATGTGATCAGCGCTGATCTTCCGCTGAAACCGATCTGGTGAAAGACACAAACAGTAACACATCATAACAAAAATACAGTGACTTAAAAATACAAATATATAGCCGTACCGAAAGTCCGGCTGTATGGTAAAAGCTATTTCTACGCCTAATCCATAGACAAAACATATTAGTATCTATGGTAGTTACTAATCCTTAATCTGTAGTCTATGGCATCGACGCTTTAACATTTTATTGAACATTCTATTAATAGTTATAAATATAATCTCTGATTATTTCTATTGCAATTAAATAAAAA